GGTTGCGGTTCGGTCGTATCGATCGATCAAGAAACAATCAATGGCTCGCGATTTAGAGCGTACGTTGCATCGCTTTCGTGCCATATTAATATATGTGATACATAATTGATAACATAATTTCACATTGTGAGAATATAACTATGGAAGCAATTTTTTACTAGTATTAGTAATTAAAAAGTTACAACATTTATTCGTCATATTGCAAGGCACATGCCTCTTGCCACCTTGAGAGGATTGTAGGACAAATAAATATCTACCGCGCTGTCCCAATGCGTGTTGGAGGACTTTACATGTTTTCAAAATATTATTTTTAATTTTCCAAACACGCAGGTTTCATCAAGATGTTTTCTTTCTTCGCATAATACAAGGTACATCAGCACTTGAAATGGCAATTAACAATTTAATTGCTGCCGACGGGGATTGAACCCGAGTTACTGATGTAGCGTACTAGTATAAATAGTGATGATTAAAGCCTTTTTTTATGTATAGGTATTAGGTTATTATAATTTATAATTATATTTTTATTATATATCATTTAGTATCAACGTAATGAAAACGTGCAGGAGTTGCACGACTTAATTTCTTTTTCCCCTTTCCACCATCGGACTACCAGTCGCTCGGCCAGTTTCCTAAACTTTGTTGTTGATATACCAAGCATTCAAACCAAACTTTTTCGAAGTCGAAGTCGAAAATTTTTCCTTTATTAAACAACCTTATTAAACAATTTTTTTAATAAATATAAAAATCATAAAACAAACAAATTTTATAAAATACTTATATACTACATACCTTCTACCTAATAATTTCCATTTGATTTTTTTAGCCCTTAATAGACAAAGGACAAATGTACCATACAGCCTATATCAATTTTATACTTTGTGTAATCGATTAATTTTGGTAATTTATTTTTTTCCATCTAAATTAAATGAAACGCTAATTAGGCGTGCACTTTTGGATTTTCCAAATATTATTATTACATAAGCTTTTAATTGAATCTACTCATACGGTTTCGGATATTATTTTGAGCACGTTTAATTTTAATTAAAATGAGATTCCATTCAGAGTAATGTAATTTTATACCTTTGTGATTGAAATGTAAAAGTAATAAAATTTTGTTTAAATACACCGTACATAGTGGTGTGAGAATACCCACAACCCCGCATCGTCCCGTGGGTGTCGATAGTGGGACAGAGGGATTGAAACAGAAGATGGGCAGCAGCGTATTCGAGATAATAACTCTAAAAAAATACTGCTGTTACTATGCCGCGTCCCAACCATGGTAATTATGACAATTTTTTTATAGAATAGGGTGACAAACGAGCACAAATCCACCTGATGATAAGTGGATGCTGTGGCCCACTGACATCTACATTTATCCTCAATTAATCACCCATAAGGACTAAGATGAAATGCCTCGTTTCCAGTATAAAGGGTCTCCGGTTTTCTAAACTACACCATATGAAACACAGCAGTGTTAAGCTGCTACTTTACGCTTGTTCTGTGAGAGCGTGGTCTTACCCCGGTCGAGCCGACCCATTGGTGCTACAACCATAATATAGCTGCAGCGTGGCCTTACCACGTGGAGAATCTATTTGTATATGTATCTGACTGTCTCTTCTATGAGGGGATATAGACTCTACGGTGGCTAACCGCTAAGACTTAGCGGTTAGCCACCGTAGAGTCTATATCTTTCCTAGTGTATCTTTCCTAGTGTATCTTTCCTAGTGTATCTTTCCTAGTGTATCTTTCCTAGTGTATCTTTCCTAGTGTATCTTTCCTAGTGTATCTTTCCTAGTGTAGTGGTGTTGTGAGTAGTGGTTCTGTGATTAGTGGTGATGGGGATAGTACACGCAATTGAGGGAGGGCGGGAGGTGCTCTTCCAACTAGGTAAGTCATATCATTTTATTTTATCGAGCGGATGTACGCAAAGTAATTTTTTGTCAACTTTAAAAGAAAGGGAATATGTTTACCTACCATTTGTGTAAATACCATCAGCATAATTTTTTTTTCTATATAGAACCAGGCCATGTTATTGGAAAAACTACTGTACAAAAAATATTTTTGTACAGTAGTTTTTCCAATAAAATCGTCGATTATCATTTCATTTAACACATGAGTGTCATCTACATATATGTCTGTATTTTAGCATGAATGGAATCAGCAAAATATTTAACCAGACTATTCGATTAAACTTAATAGTGGAAAAACGGCATTATACAAGTTTAAATAGCTATAATGTCTGTTTAAATGGTTACTCCTTTCGTGAATTTATTGACGTTTAGATTTTTATATTTTTGTGATAACAGAAAAGTGTGGTTTGCAACATGTGTGTTGGTAAGCGTTGGCAACCGCAGTTTTTTATTTATTTTGATTTGATGTTAGGAAGATGCTGTTGCCGTCTCCTGTTTAAGTTTTCTTCTGTCGCCTTTTACAAGAGCCACATTACATTGTACGGTAGTGGATATTCTTACACTAATCACAACACAGTTTGATTGCTAAAAAAATTATCACAGATCTCTTAAAATAACGCTCTATTGTGATCGGGGAACGTCCTTTCAGCTCAAACCGTCCGAGAATCTCGAGTACTGACCTTTTACGCGACAATGAACATAAATGCGTTGTTGCCTTTTTGAACGCTTTTTATTTATATATCAGATCTTACTGAGATGAAAACGTAGGTCTTTTGGAAAGAGTCGATAATGACATTCTCCAGAACGTCAAAATCTACTGCCACTTCAAATCAATCAATTTCAAGAGAGTTCAAAATGTTGGTTTTGATAGCAGTTCTAGAAAGCCATAATTATGATTTATATATTTCTGAAAGGATTATCCAAAAGCCTACAGAGAAAAAGAGTTAAATATGTTAGATAAAAGAGTAGATGTGAAGGAAGCGGGGAAGGCGTGTTAGGATCGCGCCAAATGGAAGTCCGTAGTCTCTGGCTATCTCTCTCTGGGTGACACAAGTTTATTTTATCTGAAAGACGAAAATCATTACATCCACGCCTTTTAATAATATGCAAAGTTGACGTAAGAGAAGTAAGGTTTAATTTACATATTTTTAATTCCCGACGTTTCGGGTGTTGCAACCCATGGTCACGCCCCTCCCTCCCGGTGAGATGTTTTACGTCCCGATATCATAGTTAACCCGGCTAGCTACCTTCAGTGAATATTGATTTTTAGTGCGATCTACGCCGAATGAGCTTACAGTATCTTGAAGTATTGCAGTGGTATGCTTTGGTTTGGGTTTATTTTTGTTAATTATAGGATTCCAAGCAGATATGCTGATATCTGCTTGGAATCCTATAATTAACAAAATCCCATCCATCTTCTCTATTGAAATTAAGATGTTCTTTTTTAATTTCAATAGCCTTTTTTTTTTGCGGATGGAAAATCATCAAATGACGCCTTTCGCTCTGGGTGGAGCGGAAGGGAGTGTCAGACTTTTACTGACTAAAAACCATCCGTGTTCCTTCAGTGCCCTTACGTTCCGGAGCCGCGGTATCTCTTTCGAACAGCCCGCAGCCCCGGCAGGCGTCGGCCCTTGCGGGCCCCTTCACGCTGCTGACAGCTCTTTGAGGCGCGCGTGGAACAAAACGCGCCGTCGACACGGCCTGTCGTCGTTAGACGGACGGACGGCGAGCTACCCATTACTCGCCGTCCACAGGCCCGCGCCTACGGTGGCCGGGGGCCACGACGTAGCCCCCGACGCCCCAGGCGTCTCCCGCGGCGGCCGGGAAGGAAAGCTGCTGCTCTCTCCTTCTCCCGCTCCACCACCTCCTTCGCTAGCATCACTGCTTCGCAGAAGGTGGTGACGGCATCCCATTCCGTCTCGCTCCGGACCATGGCTTCGACCAGGGCCGGACGCGAGAGGTCGCCGCCGCCTATCGCCGCTACGAGGACACGGCGGTGCTTCGCCCAGGCAGGGCACACCTCCACGGTGTGCTCCACCGTGTCCTCCGGTCGATCCTCGCAGTGGGAGCACCCGGGCGTTTCCTCCCGCCCGATTCGGTGCAGGAACCTCCCGAACACACCGTGTCCGGTGAGGACCTGCGTCAGGCGGAAGGTGAGGACGCCGTGGCGTCTCTCAAGTCACTCCTCAAAGAGGGGTCTTATCGCCGCTATAGTGGCGTGCCCAGCACGGGGTTGCGATTGTCGCTCTCTCCATGTCGCCATGAGATCATGCCGGACAACTTGCCGCGGCAGCGGGGTTTCCCCCCGGCATAGAGCCTCCGCGCGCCATTCGTGCAGGCGCGCGAGGACTATCGCCTCCAGATCCCACGGTGGCAATCCAGCAAGGAGGCACGCTGCCTCGCGGGAGATCGTGCGGTAGCCGCGAACCATTCTCACGGCAAGCACCTTTTGGGGCGCGTTCAGGTGGTGGACGGCAAGCCGCGCCAAACCACGCGCCCACACCGGGGCCCCGTAGAGGGCCATGGACTGCACAATCCCCGCGTAGAGCCTCCGGCAGGAGGCGTTTGGCCCCCCCAGGTTCGGCAGGAGCCGCCTGAAGGCAGCCCCGGTCCGTTCCAGTTTGGGAGCCAAACGTCGGAAGTGCTCAACGAAGTTCCATCGGCCGTCGAGGACGAGTCCTAGGTACTTCAACGTCGACTCGACGCCGATGGATACCCCTCCTACCATCGCTGAGGATCCCGGTAGTGGCCTGTTCCGAGGACCATGGAAGTGCATGGCCTCGGACTTGTGCAGAGCCACCTCAAGACCCAGCTGCCGGATCCTCTCAACGACTATCGCAACCCCGCGTGTCATAGTTTCCGCCGCCGCCTCGTACGACCCCCCTTGTGCCAGTACCAGCGTGTCGTCAGCGTAGCAAACTACGCTCACGCCGGTAGGGAGGTCGGCGCGCAGCACCCAGTCGTAACCGATGTTCCACAGGGGCGGCCCCAGAACCGAACCCTGTGGGACACCGCACGACATCTCTCGCCGGTTCCACTCACCGTTGCGATCGGGGTAGATGACGGCCCTATCCGTCAGATAGTCCCCGACTATACGACGGAGATAGCTCGGCACCCGGTGATACCGGAGTGCCTCCCTAATGCAGCTCCAGGGCATGGAGTTGAAGGCGTTGGCGATGTCGAGAGACACCGCCAAAACAACCCCCCCCTGGCCACTGCATCACCCGTCGTGAGGGCTCTCACGCGTATGATGGCGTCCACCGTAGAGCGCCTCTTGCGGAAACCAAACTGGTGTTCCGCAAGATCCGGCCCCGTCCCCGCAAGGTGCTCGGCGAGGCGGTTTGCAATGACTCTTTCAAAGAGCTTGCCCACCTCGTCGAGCAGCACCACGGGCCGGTATGCGGACGGAGAGTCCGCAGGGCGCCCCGGCTTCCGAATGAGGACCAGCTTCCCCGTCTTCCAACGAAGCGGGAATTGGCCTGTCTCCAAGCATGCGCTTAGGAGCCCCTCCAGTCGGGGCCCGAGAGCCTCCGAGGCCAGGACCCAGGCTTTGCCAGGCAAGCCATCGGGTCCTGGGGCGGTATTCCTGGCCTTGAGCCTACGTACCGCCACTCTCAGGTCTACCCCGGTCCCTTCCGGGATGCCGTCGTCGTAGACCTGGTGGTCCGCTTCCAGCACCGCAGGTGGCGGAGCCATAGGCGGGGGCGGATGTTCCCCTCGCGCAGGAAACAGAGCGCTCACCACGTCCTCCACGAGCTGAGGCCGGAGACTCTGCGTTAGCGGGGGGGCCCAGGTGCGGAGTTTATCCCGCACCATCTTGTAAGGGCGCCCCCACGGATCTCTGTCGAGAGTCTCCAGCATCTCCTCACGGGCCCGATCCCGGGCCCGCATGACAGCCTCCCGGAGGGCGGTCTTCGCCGCTCTGTATCCCTCGTACAGCTCCGCCTCAATGGCTGCCGCAATCGGTGGACGAATGCGGAGCCTGCGATGCCTGGCGTACAGGTGCCACGCGGCGACACACGCCTCGCGCAGAGACGTCAGCTCACGCGACCACCAATACACCTGACGCCGGGCGCTTCCTGGCCGGACGCGGGGCATTGCCACGTCACATATCTCGGACATGGCCTCCTGGAACCACCCTGCCTCATCATTGACGTCGGCAGGCCTATCCGGTGATGACACCCAGGCCTGCACGATCGAGGCTTCCAGGAGGAGCTCCCGGTCCAGCTGCTTCAGCGCCCAACGCGGACCACTCGGGGCCTGTTGGACTAGCGCGCTCAAGGGCTGGGTGGAGACGTCAAACCGGATGTACCGGTGGTCGGAGTAGGTCTCCCTCCCCTCCATGACTCGCCAGTCAATGGCACGCGGCGACAGAGCGGGGCTAGCGAACGAAATGTCCACCACCGACTCGCCCCGCATCCGCACACACGTGGGGACAGAACCCCGATTTAGGACGACCAGGCCTGTCTCCAGAGCCCAGTCTTCCACCATCCTACCCCGCACATCTGTACGACGAGAACCCCAAGCCAAGTTCTTGGTATTAAAGTCCCCGAGGACAAGCACGGGGAGGGGATAGCTTCCGACGACGATTGCTCTCAGCTCTGCAAGAGAGTTGTGGAGCTCGGCGAGAGATCGGTTCGGGGAGAAGTACACCCCCACAACGACGAACTCCCCGAACCGTGCTGCTAAGCACCCCTGACCCCTCCTGACACCTTCAAGGGTCGGGGTACCGGCGGCGGCCGAAGAAATGATGGCCACTGAGCCGTTAAGGTCCGCCACCCAGTCCTTCCTAGGCCAGACAAAATACGGCTCAGCGACCACAGCTATGTTAATCGACCACTGCGCCATGCTCTGGAGCAACAGATCCTGAGCGCAGGCGCAGTGGTTGATATTCGCCTGGAGGAAGCTTAATGGGGCCGTTATAGGCATTCCATTTCAGCTTCCTTCACGGGGCGCCCCTCTGCAGGCGTCGGTGTCGCGGCGGCGGCGGCGGCGACAGTGACAGCGGCGGCGGCGGCAGTTGCAGCTGCGGCGGTGGCCATAGAGGCGGTGGCGGCGGAGGAGGGCCCTCTCCTACCCGCGGCCTTGGCCTTGGCGGGTGACACGCAGGCCCTGCTTCCGGCCCAGTGATCGGCTGGCTTGCCGGTCGCCGCACATGCATCACAGTGCGGCGTAGCGCAGCAGGTCGCCGATATGTGTCCGGGCTGACAGCAGCGGAAGCAGAGGCCACTGCGGTCAACCTCCGAGGCGCATTTCACTGACACGTGATGCCCCACGAGACAGCGGTAGCACCTCAGAGGTCTGGGCTCCAGCAGCTTAACCTGCGCTGAGACCCAGCCCACCAGAAGCCTTCGGCCCTCCACTATGGTTTTGGCCGCCGTAACAGGGCACCACACCGTGGCGGCATGCATACCCTGTTGGTCCGGGCGTATGGCGCCTGTCCTGACCTGGTTAGTAGTGCACCCCCCGGAGCTGGCGACGGCGGCCACCAGCTCCTCCTCCGATACCGAGTCGTCCAGACCCATGATGCGCAGGTCTGCGCATCTGACGGGCCTGGACACTCGGGCCTCGTCCGCGTTCAGGGACGCTCTGAGCTTCGCAGCCAGAGCGTCCGCAGTCGCGCCACTGGATTTCCCGGGGATCTCCAGCATACGGGCCCCCGTCTGGGTGACTTTGAGCCGGAGGCCCCCAGTGATCCCGAGCTCCCCGAGATCCACCGCCTCTTTCGCCTTCGCGAGCAGATCGCGGTAGGTAACGCCCTTCTTTTCCGCGTCCGGCTGTAGTGTAATCACTACAGCTGCGGTCTTCGGGGCGCGGAGCCTAGCCGCGATCTTGCGCGCCCTGAACTGGCGCTGCCGCTCCTGCTCTTTGGCCTTTTTGGCTGCCTTCTTCCCCTTCTGTTTGTCCCCGACCACCTGCCAACCGGCTTCTGCCGCGGGAGGTGTAGGGAGCTGGGGGGGCGATGGCGGCGGCGGCAGCTGGCTTGCCCCTGGCGCTGGCCCATTCGCCGCAGGCTCTGGGGCTGGCGCAGCCATCACCTGTGCTGCCGCCTTGCCCTTTTCGCCTTCGCCTTGCCTCTCTTTCCCGTCGCCGGCTTAGCCGGAGCCGGTTCAGCCGGTATCGGTTTTGCCGGAGCCGGCTTTTCAGGGGGGGGAGGGGCAACTGCAGCCCCACCCGAGGGCTGGCTGGACGGCCCCGGCCTGGATGCGGCAGCCGTGGCCGTCGCGTAAGAAACCGTTGCCGGCCTCGCCGCCGTCTTGTTTGCCCCTAGGGGGGGGGCGCAGGACGATGCCCTCCAGCACGGAGAACCGGTGCTGGAAGGCAGCCAGCTCCTTCCGGACCAGGTTCAGAACCTGGTTCTCCACCGGCACGGGCTGGCTTGGGCGCTGCGTCTGGGGCGCCGCGCGAGAGGCAGGCTCATGTAGACTGGCCAGGTCTGCGCGGAGCTTCTCATTCTCCTTCTGGAGAGTCTCCATGGCGGACGTCAGGCGGGCCACGTCCGCCCGCAGCTTCGCCACCTCGTCCGCATTAGGCCCGGCCCCAGCAAAGTTGGCCTCCGCAGCCGCCATGATGGAGGCGGAGGCCGCGGGAATGGCCTTGCATTTCGAGGAGGACTTTTGCTTGTTGGCCATGATCGCGGCCTCCACCTCCTTTACGAATCTGGCCTTACGCTCCACCTCGGAGCCGCCAGTCGCATCTGTTTCTTCGCCTGATTCCCGAGCCGTATCGTCCGGGTGGCGCCCCTCCTCGGCAAGCTTTGCCGCTCGTTCGGCCCTCTGATTGGCAGAGAGCTCCCTCCCCTTGCCTCTCAGCCCGCCCCGCCTGTTGGTGGGGATTTTCCGGGCCGAAACCTCCTCTTCACCGGATGCCGACCCCTGGTCGCCATCCCGCCTGGACCGCTTGCGGAAGAACTTGCTGGTCTCCGCGGTCCCAGGCTCCACTTGTCGGGAGCTCTCTGAGCCTCCCTCGCTGCTCGATGCGGCGTCGGACTCTGTCCCCGCATCGTTCCTCCTCTCCTCTACGTTACCGTTGCCGGCGGTTTTCGTTTTTTGTTTGTTTTGATATTCATTTTCCATTTTTTTGTACCCACGAGTATGGGTGAATTAAAGGTCCACCTTGGCAGAGACCCCTTACCAAGGTAAGCAGATTTAGAGGATTTATTACTCGCCAGGGGGTCTGCAGGTACCCTGGCGAGGAGCGCACTAACGACTGATTTGTTCATAGAACCCCGTCAGCCTCGGGGTGCAGTAAGTGCACCCCGAGCCCGCCCTCACTCCTCTGCTATGCCCTCTGCTGATCAGAGGGCCACGCAGTGGAACGCACCGTTGGTCCGGGACGGACCCCCCCCCCCATGTCAGAATAATTAGCCGCGGCAGTACCATTCCCCAAGGAGTAAGAATTTCTTCTCATTTCTCGAGGAAGATTACTGCCGCGCCCAGGGTGCACCGGCCCAGTATCTGCTCTTCCCTCCACACGTATCGAGAGGGACCCGCAACTACCAGGCACACGTGGAGGACTTCTGACTTCGCACCCCAATTTCAATAGCCTTGCGTATCATTCTTGGTAAGAATCAGTGAACTTTAGAATGCATCGAATTTCTTCGTTAGATTCAGTTTGACGGACAGAAAATCAATTGGTGGGAAAGTGTTTTTTACTTTTAATTTTTCTTTTTCTTCATGTCCTATATGTATTGATATTAAAACCAGCCAGATATAAACAGTACAACCAAAGAGGTTCTTTTTTCAATTTTATAGAAACAAAATACGAAGAATCTTTTTCCCCGGCTTATTATAACCCGCACGCAACTGTCACTCGAGAATCTTTTTCCCTAGAGAATGTAGGTTTATTTGTTTTTAAATACTTATATAATAAAATGAGATATATTAGTCTCGTTTTTACAGAAGCACATAGATAACTTCAAGCAAACACAAATGAGTTGTTACCCATGAGGACTGAGATGAAAATTTTCTTACTTCCCAGACTGGAATGCTGCTGGCGTACAAGGTGGTAGGACATCAGTTCTGCCTAGGAATGTGTTTGGATAGGTACCTATTTCTGTCCTTAAATAACAGGTGCTTGCACCGCTGTGCTCCTGCTTGTAGGGTAGAGAGAGCAAGTATAGTAACAGGCTGTGAGGCATTCCATCTTAGTCGTCAGAGGTGACAACGCATTTGTAGACTGTTCTTTGTTTGAAGTTGGATGCATGTGTGGTAGATGGCTACACATGCATCCATCTGGTAGGCTGTTAGTTCGTTTGTCATTTCAGCTTTATAAAAAACACTATGTATATTAAAATATACATATTATATAATCAATTATAATATTCTTAATTTTACGCTGATGGTAAAAGTTTCGATAATTCAAATTGCGGAAAAGTTTAAATGACTTAAGCAATTAATTATATCTTAATAAATCTTACTTGAAACTTTAATACAGCTTAAATAGAAGGTGTTGCTGTTCAGGTTCAATAATTCAAAACTTATGGACATCAGCCAACGTTCATTAAAACAGCGAGGGGCGACTTCAAAAGAGTTGCGCAAAGTTTTCACCTAATAGTTTTTATTCATTAACGCTTTAAATTTAAGTACTTAAGCGTTTTCAATTTTTATTCATAAATTATTACGATCTTAAATTCGATTTTAATGATTTGGAAATATTCAGCATTACAATGAAAATAGGCCCAAGGCGATTTTCGA